ATCAACCAATCCAGCAGGTCCAAGCCAACATCAACAAGAAAGCCACAACAGACAAAGCTCAAGCAACATAGTCAAGTGGATATTGAATTCACATCAGAACTCTTACACCAAACTTTAACCACAAACAAAAGTTTTCAGACCTAAACTTCCTGTAAGTATTAGAAAATTATTTGTTTTGTTTCATATGGAAGGATTCTATTTGAGTACAATATTATGTAATGATTTTTTAACTTTGTAGATTAGGAGATCAATAAGGTCCAATACTGAAGGTCCCAACCAGCACCATCAAGGGAGCCAGCACCAACACACACAAGGGAGCCAACACACACAAGGCTCAACCAATACAGTTAGGAAATTGGTAATCTTATTTTCTGCATATCCTTGTACTTATATTGATTTAATCACTTCCAGTTTTTTTCACTTGTAGGTTATAAGTCATTCAGGGAGCCAGAGCACACAGGGCTCACCAATGTCAGTCAGGTGGATGATGCCCTCTCAACAGAGCTCCACCACCTAACCTCAACCTCAAGATCCTGCTTCAAAGAGGCCAAGGTGTAAATGAAGATGAAGTCCAAATATTTTGTTATCAACTTTGTGCATTTTTTTTACAACCATGGTTGGCTTATTTTTTCAAACATTACCTCACAAAGTTATATTTTGTATGTTAACCATGGTTGGTTATATTTTGTTATGGGATATGTATTTTGTCTGTTAACATATGGTTGGTCCAAACTATCAAACATTACCTCACAAAGTTGTAAGTTGAAATACAGAAGCTGCAATATGAATGTACTTAGTAGCTTCTTCCATTTTTTTGCTCTTGCTCTTGAATATGTATGAACATTTGAAAACTATTAACTGCAAGCAGAATTATTTTGTTCAATAATTGTTCCTATGTGAATTCATTTTCTGATTCATTCTTATAAATGCTATTCTTTAAAACCAATCAAAATACATACTTAACAACTTAACAATGCATCAATTAATATTCATAATACCATACATACCTTAACAACTTAGCATTTCATAATACTAAATATTCATCACATTTCATACCAGTTAAAAATATCCTTCACAAAATTATCTTTCATGTTTCAAAATCTACAAAATTATCTCATTATCACCTACACCTTCAAATGGTCACTCAAAAAGAATATTCAACCTTGCTTTTCTAGTTCATAAATCATCAGCAACCTTCAATACCCAATTCAATATCCAAAAATCATCCACAAAACATACAAGTAAGCAAAATTGAACATATCACTGCAAAAATCCAAAGAATTCTCTCATTTCTTCTTTTCTTTTCAAGTGCTCTAATTTTTTCTGAGAATACCAACCACAACCATCTTCGCACGTTGAGGCATTGATGGATCAAACCATTGAAAATAATTGTAAGAGTTGCGCCGCTTATTGCCATAGTTATTACGATCAAGAAACTGTGTTATAGGGTTGTTGTGCGACACATCGTCTTTAAAGCCGCCAGAATCCCACACCTGCAGAACGAAATCAAGTTAGACTCAGACATTGATTATATCTCCTTCTTCATCCCCTTTTCTTTTCATGTTAGGGTTATGTAATTTGATCCCAATTGTTTGTTTATGTTGGCCCAAACTAGATTAATTTATTATTTACTACAAATTTGATGTAGCCAATATGATCTAGTCTTTTTAATATTAAAAAATCCAAATCATTATGTTGTTACTGAGTTAACGACAGAGTGACCAAATTTTTGCAATGTATAAAGTTTTGTGAGCAAATTGAAAAAAATTGAAAGTACGATAAGTTAAATAGGAAAGAGAAAGTAAATTTTAGTGACGATTTGTGTAATTTATCCCAATTTTAAAACCAAAAGAGACATTTAATCAACGGAGAAAGTATTAACTTTTTTACATTTTTTTGAGATGTAGTAGCATTTATGTCTCTCAAAATTCAGTTTAAAATTTAAATGCTTTATTTATTTGTTAATGTAAAATAAATGTCCAAATTATACCTTAAATTAATTTACGGAGTGTAACATCCCAAAAACCAGGCTAGTGACTAAAATATAAGTTTTTGAAACTTTGTACTCAATTTAAAAAAATTAAAAAGTTTAGGGACTTAATTAGAATATCTTTGTGTAGGATTGAATAGTAAAGTTTGAAATATGAAAGGGAATAATGGTCATTAGACAATGAAATAATTAAAAACTCATTGTTTGTGTTATATTTAAGCATTTGTAGAAGGGAAAGAAAGGGAAAAGAAAAAGCTGGAGACTTTAGTTAGATATCTTCTTCTCCTCTTCACCATGATTCTCCATAGCTAAGGTAAGGAATGCTCAAATTGGTTATTTCTCATAATTTATGATGGGTTTTGATTCTTGGGGTGTTAGGAAAGCTTAAGGAAACTTAAAGAGAAGTAACAACTAAAAGATGGACAAGTTATGAGTGATTAAGTAAAACAGATTTTTGATTAAATTGATGAGAAAGTGTTAGTAAATGGATTTTGAAGTGACATTTAACTTGTTATAAGTTGAAATGAGAAATTTAAAGTGTTAGAAATGAATTTGGAACATGTTGATAAATTGGTATGATTTTTGAATTCTAGTGAGTATATGAGATATTGGGTGTTAAGATGAGTTAAAATGAAATAAGTTGATTTGGGTAAGTGTAGTTGAGTTTAAAGGCTTTAAAGAAGAGTAAAGTGAGGAAGTTAGTAAAGTTTTGGAAAATTTCGGGTTAAACTAATAAGTTATGGGCAAGGGGTATCGGTATTGGATGAACAGTACCAATACTCCAAAGTAAATATAGATAATAATTGGGTTTGGGTATCGATACTGGATGAACAATATTGATACCATAAGGTAAAAGTGGATGAATCATTCAAGCAGTATCGATACTGAAGTAATAGTATCGGTACCAGGGGTATCAATACCAATGATTAAGTATCGGTACCATTTTAAGATCCGAATTCTAGAATGTTAAGAGGGTATCGATACTGAAGTGTAGTATTGATACCATAGTAAGGAAGTATCGGTATTGTAGCTTGGGTATTGATACTATTCATATGGAAATTATGAATTAAGTACTTGTATAGCTTAAGTTATATAAGATTTATTATAGTGATATGAATTTATATTCATATGGATCATATATTTGTGTAGATATAAATTGAAGGCAAGTACTAGACGAGTCGATGAGATAAGATTGATCAAGTGAGAATTCAGAGTATTGCTTTAACTAGTGAGGCCCAGGTGAGTGAATACTATTAGAATATATGTACTGCTATATGGATGATTTTGTACTATGTGAATATGCCTTGTTCGTATTACATGTTATGTGGTATGAATCTATATGATATGTGTTATATGGCAATGATATATGTGAATACATGCCTATGTGACAAGATATGTGAAACTGAACTATGTGAATATATGAAACTAGTATATAAGTGATGTGATATAATATAAGTGATTATGTGAAACTGTGAGATAAGCTATATGGCATTGATCTATGAGACTATATGAAAATGTATACATGAGTACATGCATAAGTTTATATGTTATATGCACTGTTATACATAAGCTATGTGTTATATGTTATTCTATGTGCTATGTGATTTATGTGAACATGTGAGAATAAGATATAAGTTATGTGACATGATCTACGTGATTACATGCACATAAGATATAAGTTATATGACATAACCTACGTGATTTTTTGTCTATGTAAAATAAGATATAATAAAATAATATAAATGGTAAAGCCCATAGTATGTGATATGAGAGCTGAGGGTATAATTGGCATGCCAAGAGTCGAGGGTTCTACGCGGTCCTTCGGGACAATTCTACGTGGTCCCTCAGGATATTTCTACGTGGTCCTTCGGGACATATCTATGTGGTCCTTCGGTGCATTTTCTATGCGGCACTTCGGTGTATTTTCTATGCGGCACTTCGGTGTAATTTATACGAGCTGTGGCGACAGCATTTGTGCACAACCTCAATGCACTCATATACCTTAAGTTCTCAATGATATACATGGACTAGTAAAAGAAAAGATATAAATGAACAGTGAATGATAATAATAATGATAATTGTGTTAATGATAATGATATGTATAACTATGCATATGTGCTTTTGTTATATGAGATGTTCTATGATTTCTTGATATAATGTTATAATATGTTTAGAATATGTTTAGGTGATTTAGTATTTTATTTCTCAGTGGTGTACTATGGACTAATAAAACAAATAACATGAATGAATCATGCATAATGTTATATGTTATTGTTGGTGAAATGTATGATCATATATGTTTGTTTGGGTTGATTAAATATATGAGGTTTATATATGTTATGAAAGTATGTAATTACATGTTTCAATAGGTCATTTATGCATTTTATGTCTCACTAAGTCTTCGATTTAGTGTGAGTGTTTCATACACAGGTTCAGAGAAACAAGAAGAGCAAAGCTAAGATCAGACAAGATAACATATCCATACGAGAAGATCATATCAGAAACAGTGTATACAATATGTTATTTTGATTAATCAAAGTAGTTGACATGATTCAAAGTTTGAGTCGCATATGCCCTGATCAGTTTTGTAAACAAATCTTACCATATTTGTGCAAATTATTAAGTTCTATTTTAGAATTTTGAATAAATTCTATTTATTCACTTTGATCCATGGTTTCATTACTTTTATATAAGTAAAAGTTTAAGTTTTTAACTATCTTAATGATTAAAAAATTAATGTGACACCTTGAATTAGTATTCGGGTCAGATACGAATTGAGGTGTAACATGGAGTCCAAAGAAATTTTTTGTTAAAAGTAAGTGCAAATCATTTTATCCATTACACACTTTTAGGTACCTAAAATTTTAACCGTTATATTTTTAGATGCCTAAGTTGCAAAGGCAGTTAAGTGACGTGTCACATTTATATATACTTTTTGAAAGTGATTATAACCTCAAAGAAAAATATAACAATCTTATATATGATTTTACATTAGGATACTAATTACATACGGTACAAAGCTAGCATATTATAAGGTTTAATCAAATCATTTTCTTAATACATTAATTAAGAATTTCTTTCGAAGCCATTTTAGATGTAATAGACGAGAACATTACCCTCGGCTTCTTACATATTTACAAGCAGCTACCTTTCATCAGTTTTGACAGGATCATTAGCCAACTCCAGGATCTCCTTTTTGCTCTTCACCACACTCCATTTCCTGTTATGAAAATCAAGTTTGTCCAAGTCCTCTGAAATTGCCATATAACCATAAAGAAGCTGCTCCTCCAGATTGTCACCCTCCCCTACTCTTACCGTTTCCTGGGTGCTGTTTTCGCCATAACCTTTTGATGTAATTTCGATTCTCCCTCGCTTATTCTCAACAAAATATCTGTGAAGTCTTTCTGCCATTGCCAGTCCGGTAAAAGTGCCTAAGAACTTCACAACCATAATACTTTGGTCTGCAGGTCTCCCTAGGCACACGGTGATTTTCCCCCTGATAAAGCCTTTATCTGTCGTCGTTCAAGAACCAACAAGTGGTAGAAAAAGAGCAAGCAAGGAAATTCCATGAAAAAAGGAAGAAAAAAAAATTATCAGTCCTGTCTTCGGGTCAAAGAAAGTCTTTCGTATTCACCGGCAAGTAAAAAACTTTCGACACTATGATTAATTCCATTTACTAGTAGTGCACATCCACAGCCAATTCAACTCAAACTTTCATCTTTTCTGAATATATTTTATCATTTTTGTTTGATGATATTATCAGGCATTAAACATCCATTTTTTTCTGTTCCACTTAGAACAATTCAAACTAAATGCATTAAGCCATTTACTAAACAAATTATCGTGCAAATGTCAGTCAAGCACTCACCTCTCAGAAAAGCCTGCACCCCTTCGATTGGAACAACCTTCTGTCCTTGAGGATTGTTATTTGCCATGGAGATATTGTGGATGACAACCATTGGAGGCCAGAGAACCAAATCCTCCTTCTGAGCCAAGGCTTCAGCTTCAGGTAAGACCTGGGGAACCCATGTTATAGTGTCAGGAGGTGCTATGCTGTCCCAACCCAACAACACACATATTGCTTTGAGAAGACCCAAGTGCTCTGCCTTCAGCCCAACCTTGTGAGACATGAAAGCATGAGTCCCCAGGCGTTGGGTATCCATGAATTCCTTAGAGTAGCTGCAAGAATAATAAAGACGTAGAGTCATCATTCATCAATGGTACTAAATTTTGAAAATGTAGACAATGATTTGAATAAATATCAATTTTGATATTCACGAATATCAATTCTGACTGAACTGTAAAACAGAACAAAATTAACCCAAATCTAAACCTGATTTCGACATAAAAAATCAACCACCCACGACCAAGCCAAACTCAAAAACGACCTGAGCAAGTAATCCAAAATTATCTGAACTTGAGTACCAAACCCAAATGAAAAAACCTGAAATGACCCAACCCGGAAAAGCCTGACTAGCAAAACACCCGAATGACCAAAACCCAAAACTGGCCTAGATCTGAAATAACCTAAACCCAAAAGATCAGAACTCTATCCAAATATGTAGATGATTATATTTAATTATTAACAAATGAAGACTGAAAAAAACCATGTATATCTGTAATCCTTCCACTTCAAAAGAGTAGACCACATTTGCAGATGGATTTACTGACAAAAACCGACTTAAAAAAATAAAAAAATACACACTTAAATGGAGCGGGTGAGGGAGACACAGAGTCTATCTGAATCAAGATGGATAAGTAATATCAACATTTAGCCAGTTACAAGAAATAACTGTTTATGCAAGACAATAATACACATTTTTTACAAAGTTCTTTACAGAACATAGTTGATATTTAACATGATACGGAACTCTCAAATTTTATCCCTTTGATTTGCCTATCTACACTGCCATTTAGACCTGCTCCACCATGTACCTCTCCATTAATTGACTGGAAGAGGCAATATCATCCCATACGCCAGAGACAAATAAATGACCACTCAATTGGTCGCAAAAATTACCTATTAAATTCTTTTCTCCGAAAACCCTCTATCAGACGTAAGGGTACTAAACCTTTCTCCTTAACAACATCCAAGATTCTGAAAGAGCAAGAACTAAAGGCTCAAATCAAACATCTTAGATGCCTGTTGCTAAAGTCAAGCAGCTTCTTCTCACAAATCATTCAAGAATGAGCAAAATATGCAATAAGTTCTATCTAGTATCCACAATGAAGCCAAGATGTTCTCCATATTAGCACACTTAAAAGAATCCTCAGTTCTCTCCACTTGGCATATCAAAATCAACCGGCTTTCAGCAGTTAGCTCACTTATAGGGCTACACAGAAAATGTCATCTAAAGCAGGAAATTTCCAACCTCGCTGAATCAAGCATAAATTGATACAACTGGACGCCAAAATTTCATCACAGCAAGCCAGCTCATTCAACATGTTTTGGCCACAAATGCTGAAATCCAGCATATTTATAATGTTATCTACTTTCCTCTCTATTCTTCTTTTAGTATACAAAGCATTTACCACATCTAAGGTTGCATGGTATCAACACATTCATAAGCTTGACATTCACTAGGTTGTACCCTATAAATTATTACATTATTCGAAACCTGCAAAATGCTAGTATAAACCATTATTCTCGGGCCACTAATCTACTCATCTATTTCTGCTCAGAAGCAAAATGATTGATATTCAACACTAAAATAAAGTTGTTTATGACCAACCATCATACGTCTAGTTAACATTTAATGAACAAACTGTATGGCCAGAAGAAAACACTTGATATAATTGCTTAAATAACTGAATAACAGTAATGATTTTGTTAGTTTCCAAAATATTCAAATGGCCATAAAAACATCCCAGGAAGACCAAGTGATAGAACCTTCAGGGCCAAAATCCTCATTCAAGCAAAGAATTAAATGAAAATACATGCCCCTCTTTAAAATGCATGTCATGGAAAAGAAATACAGACCTTCTACCACATACAATGCAGAACAAACTACCAGCATGTCCTTGCTCCCTGTATCTTTTACGAACAGAGTGGTTCAAGTTTAACCTTCTGGAGTACTTTAAGAATGCATCATGTACCAATTGCTTAAATTCTTCTGAATCCTCAGACAGCTCAGCCTCTGCGTAATTCACTAAATCTTCAGTCATGTCACCATCATTTGCATTTATATCCTCATCATAATCTTCATTTCTCTTCCAAACTTTGTTTTGTTTATGAAGGTTACTTCTTTTTTCATTGTGATGTGAAGTATGCCTGCTAAGAGAATCAGGTCCGGGATTTCCCTTAATATATTTACCACTATTTTTGTAAAATCTGATTGGAACCCTTTGTGAATATGCCAAAGAACCTTCGGATGTATACCAGTCATCCAATTCCAAATCTCCATGATGTTCTAGCCCATGATATGTCCTTCCAGCCTTTCTATATTCATTGTGGCCATACTGTTTTGTCCTAGGTGCATGTGAACCAATTATATCTTCATCAATCTGCTCATCACTGTCATATGAACCTCCAAAGTTGCCAGCTGAATGCAATTTACCGGATACAATAGTTTTAGAACTTGACCTACCAACATCTTCCACCATAAGGAACTTCCTTTTAAGGATCCTATCTGAGTACATGTCAAGTTCATCCTCCATCCTCTTAGTTCTTAGACCAGGTCTACGTTTCTCTGTATCATATTTAGATACAGAAGAATATATAACTCTTTCGTTTTGAAACACTGGACCTACTCCTCTGCCAAAACCAGAATCAGATCTCGAATTTGATAATTGACGATTGTAAGATGCATCAAAATGTGACATTTCATAATCTTGTGGTAGTCTTCTTCCAAATGAAACATGGGTGTCTTCTGAACCCACATATTCCCCACCTTGCATTGGTGCATATGATCCGCACATATCAATGTAGTCTGTACTTATTTGATTTTGCAAAGAACAATCATCCCATATAATGCCCTTTCTCGAACATCTATAAGAATGATCTGTATTATCCATTCTGTCTTCAACATGGCACATAACATTTGGTTTCAGCATGTCTATTTCACCGTAATCAACCGATGCATGTTCATACAAAACTCGAGATTGAGAAGGCATCATCCTTTTTAAGTCCCCAACTGGATACCCACGATTTTTACTTCCTATTGCCCTAGGTTTTCTGTATAGGTAATCTTCATACTCAGCTCTGCTCGGACTATCTGGCCATTGCTGATATAATGTCATATTCCTTCTAGTAGCTTTGGGATCTTTCACAGACTCTGTATGTGGCCTTTGGTCATATTTATTATATCCCACAGGTTCTGTGAGCTTTCGGCTGCTTCTAAGATATTCTTCAGAAACGTGTATGGGGGCATCATCCTGATATGAACTCGTGAACTCAGTCCTAGGGAGACCAGAAGATGAGCCAGAAAATTCCTTAAGTTGAGGGGTGCTCATGAAGTCATTGGATTGAGATGCTTGCACCATATGATATGCAACATCCTCAGAGTCGAACATGGGTTTATCTTCTTTGTAAGAATCCATAACTGTCACCTTCTTTGAAGGTATAGTTTCTCGATGCCGAAATTCTTCCCGCTCGTATTGATCTATATCAATATCTTGTGAGGAAAATGGTAATTGCTCACTAGTTTCTGCAAGATTTAAGTTTGGACCTCTACCCTGAGGCAACCGATGTGGTCCTCTTACATTTGTTTCTTCCACTTGCAATTTCTGTCCCATCATAACATGACCATCAGTGCCCGTATAATCCTCCCCTTTGGTCATCCTGGAAGTACCATGATCATACCTGTAAACACCCCTTGCTCTAGAGTTTGGATCATCAAAACCAATAGGCTCAGCATAATCATGTTTTCTATAAACAACTCCCTCATCTTCATAATGAGGCTTTTTACGCATTTGCTCATATAGGGGTGATTTTGATCTTGCCATTTCGGTGCTAACACTACCCAAATGCCGACCATACAAATCCTTACCCACCATAGATCTGCTCATCCGCTCCCTAACCGAACCTGCCTTCCTAGACACAGCAAGGGTATTAGGACTATAGCTCCTCTGTCCACGCCGTGGAGGAGACCGATCATTCATCACCTCACGGCGAGAAACCGGATAAGGGTCATGAGGACCAACTTCAGAAGCAACCCTGTGTTGACTACGCGACTTAACAGTTCGAGATATTTCAACCTGCTCCTCTTTTCTTCTAGATCGCATCTTTCCACTTATCAAACACTATTAACTTTCTACGTGTTCAGAAACAGAACAAGAGCCCTAATTTCTAGATCAAGCTTACGTACAAATTTCGAAAACCCTAAAAACCCAGTACGCAAGAAGCTTGGATGATCCCAAACATGGAAACTCAGAAATCGATTGCAAAAGACGGATCCAAGAAAACCCCCCCCCCCCGAAAGGATTTCCAAATCTTTGAGAGAAATTAAAAGGAGAAAGACCAAACCTTGTTTCGAATTGGAATAAAAGAACCCATTGAGTGGTCTGAAAGCCTTTTCACGAAATTTGTCTCAACAAAAATTCACAAAGCCTTTTCTCTTTTACCCACAATAATTATAGACAAAAAGAGTGTGATCTGATCTGATATTGGGCGTCGAACATGAGAACCAAACAAGAAAGTGAAGGGGTTAGATACTTTTAGTGATAGTTTAAAAAGTACTTTTCAAAAAATACTTTTTTTACATTGTTTTTCAATAATAATTCGAATAAACTATTAAAATAGGCATTAAATTATAAAAGTAATTTTAATTTTATCATGAATTAGTTTTTTTTCAATAAAGTTATTAAAACATCCATTAATGTTATTAAAATTATGGGTAAATTCTATGAATTGTCCTTTATGTTTTCTATCCATTAAATTTTGGTCACCAATTCAAAAAAAAATGATTTTGATCTCTTACGTTATCGATCCGTTAGATTTTAATCTCTAGATTGTCAAGGGCATAAGTAAGATAAAATTATGAGAGGGGCCAAGTTGTTTATCTTTGAAACTAACAATGTTTTAAAAGGTAATTAAATCACAAAAAATAGAGGATTGGGCTTAATTTCACTAACTTCAAAATTATCATGTCTTAAAAAATAATTAAACCAAAAAAGTTAAAAGCAATAATTAATTTTATTTAAGTTTAAAACTGATAATATCTTAAAAAAAAATTAAACAAAAAAAATTAAAATTGTCATACTTTAATTTTAATGGTTTAATTGTATTTTAAGGACTTAAAATACAATTAAACCATAAAAGTTGGGGTGGGTTATATCCCATTCCGCCTCTACGTGATCCCTCCACTGTACTTCCGTTGACTTATTAACATGAGTATAAATTGGTAATACAATTGGGTATACGGACTACCCGCCCGTTTAGTCCGCGGGTTTTGACGGTGTAGGTTTTGACAGTGTGGGCTTAAACGGAGCAGTTTAAAAAGCCCGCAATCATAAACGGTCTTGAATTCTAAGGCTCGCGGCACGTACCATTTAACCTACGGGCTAACGAGTTTACCCGCAACCCGTTAAATAACAACAATTTTAAATGCTTTAAATGCAATAAAAAATTATGTTATAACTTGCTACACCTTTAAAAATGATCTAACAACTTGAAAAATCTATTACACTATTAAGTCTCAATAAGTATGTTGTTATTTAATCAATTTTTTTTAAAAAAAAATATTTAATCAATCGTTTATTCAGGAAAACAAACATAATTTTTTTAAGTTAACAGAAAAGGTTTGCATAGACTTACAGAATTTGGCGAGCTTGAAGCAATTGGCAGTTTTATCAAAGAGCTCGGGCTTTTTATATAATATAAGTCACACAAAACAACGTAATTTAGGGATTTAGGGCAACTATGACAAGTTTTAATGTGCTAATCGTGTAAGGGCTCCACCCACTTTTGAATTAATGCATTATAATCCTCAAATATAGTTTATTATTTTAATTTTGCACTATAATTTTATGTATTTTTTTTATCACTGCCTCAAGTTTTATATATTATTTGCATGTTATGTTACTTTACCTTTTTAATTTAATTATTATATTTATATATGGTTTAATACTTTGATTTGTTTTTTTTCTTTTTTTAACGTATATGTATATAGTTTTTCTTATGATTAATTATTGGAGTATAATAAACATTTTATGGCTTATATATATATCAATGGTATTAATTATAAATGGTAAATAAGTATATAAAAAGATGGAAACCTTTTTACTTAAATTTTCATATTACGTTACCATAGGTATAATTAATATGTTCGAATTTCAAAATTGGATATCATCAAATTAAAACGTGAATTGGGCTTCATATATCAGTGCACATAAAACGTAAATTGGACTATGACTAAAATACACATAAAACATGATTTGTCTTCTGTAAAACATAAAATAAATTTAAAAAAAATAATTAAATTAGGCGGGCTACCCGTAGAGCCCGCGGGTATACCCATTAAATCCATGGGTTTAACGGTCCGGGCTAATAAACATGCAATTTAAATGAGCTTTATTTTTTTAGGTCCGAAGCTCGCATGGGCTGCGGGTTATACGGGTAGCCCACGTGCCTTAGCCCATATACCTAGCTCTAATTGATAATTAAAAAAGAAAATCCACGTTAACCCCTTCTTCCTCTTTAAATCCACTTTAAATAATATAGTAAAGTTTTGTTTAGTTGGGGGTTGCATGCAGGAGCAGAAGCGATTTCTTCTTCTTCTGGCTGGTTTTGACCCCACCATAAAGATGGTCCCGCAATAAAAACTCTTGTTTTGTACTCGGAGATTCTGGTTTGTGCTTTGCTATTTTGTTTATCATTAGTATTCAATGACAGAAACTGTATCCTCGAACTTGTTCTGGTATTCTCCATCTCCTTACATTTGAATTATCACCCGGTTCTAGTGCAGATTTTCCATCAAAAGACCAGGAACCATCTTCAACGTCAAATAGCTTCATGATGGCTGCTCTTTCACTGTACCATACTCAAGTCCTTTCCCCTTATTGCTTGTCTCAGTTATCTCTACCTTCTTCTTCAGGTTCTGCACAGTTATTTGAAGGTTAGCCAACTTTTGTGCATCAGAATCAAGTCTTTGTAAAATCTCCCTCTTGCAAAAGAGATTTTTCAAGTCTTTATAAAAGCAAGAATCAAAGCCCATAACCATTTAAGATCCATGGTATTGTTAACATAAATGATAATTTACCGACAAAGTTGCATTGGTCAAAAGAGATATATGGTTGGCTTAAAACTTAAATTGCATATTCAACCAAATAGAATGAAGTCCATATTGCTTTGGTTTGTTAAAATGTAAAAAGAAAATATGAAGTCATAAGAAAACAAACATTACCTTTACAAAATGGGTGAAATCTCGGACAATAACACAAATTGCAGCAACACCTTGGTTCAATGGGCATGCACCATCTACATTGATTTTAAACTCACCAGGAAGTTACGACATTGAGATAACACTAGCCTAGCAGTGGACATGGATTGATGACTAGTGGAGTTAAGAAAGGAGTGTTGTAACGCCTTGCTATCGGAGATGATGACCCGAAGGAGGAGACGTAAAGAGCCATAGACCCGATTCCCGAAGGAGGAGCTGGAGTGATACACGACCGCATTAAGCAATGGCAATGGAGAGTGCAAATATACTCAAGAGTGATTACGCCCTAAAATCTAAATTTCTCTATATTTGTTGTTCATTTTACCAATTCTGTTTTCATCAAAACTTTGTCACATTTTTCTTAAAAAAAATATTAAATTCAGCCTCTTAGCTTTAATTCTAGATGCTATACTGATTTTAGGATTGGTGGTTTAGAATGAATTTTGAAGTCAAGTGGCCAAACTGTTTAAATTTGAGAAAACTCCTCAAAACTCTTATATTTTCACGTTATTTTTCAATTATTTTTTAAAGTTTTAAACTTCTTTACTTTTTTGTTTTCTTATATTATTTTTAGATTTATAACTCGTTTCGATTTCATATTAAGTTATTTAATTTATATAATTGATTCATATGGACGAGTTCTTTGGTCTAAGATTCCCCATCAAACCTTAAACGCAATAATAAAAGAAATAAAAAAAAAACTACTAATAAGTTGTATATTTTTAATGAAATACTATAAAGAAACACTAAATACATGAAAAATAAATAAAACAACATTTGAAGTGTTCCTTAGATACCTAATTTCGTCCAGCTCGATTCGATTAATATTATTATGATCATATTGCTATGATTTATGTCATTATAATTATACTATATAATATGGTACGTATTATATATTTTTATTTCTTGTACCAGGTCCAATGTTACAAATAAATCCAAGCCCCAAGGCCCAGATACAAGCAAGCCCGGTTACAAAGAAGACCGAGTAACCCATAACCCGGCTAAACGACCCGACCCGAGACCCAGATTTTGGGAGCAACCCGAACCAGTCCATCACGTGTGCAACCCTATGAGAGTTAGGGTTTCTCTATTTTTGCCCCAACCGCCAGCAGCAGCGACCGTTGGATCTGGATGAGATCCAACAGTCCACAGCAGACCTCATCTAGGTTTTTTCGAACCCTAGCCCACTTCAACGTTGCTCCTACCGGTCAACACGAAGAACCCTCGTCCCAGTTGCAACCAACGACCGATTTTCTCGGCACCAACTTCACCAACAAACATGCAACAACAAGATAGCATTTTAGTTTAATTAGAACTCTAAACCCACCCAAAAATAGGGGGTACATTAGGCTATAAATTGATGTAAAATCGAAAAGAAATGGGAGAAAAATTATAAGAAAGTACACAAGAAATACGAGCAGTCACAAGAGAAAAAAATCAAAGCTTTGTAAACATTTCGAAGGGAAATAAAAGGTAAAAAAAATCTCACCTTGTTCGTTTTTTTCATCTGCATGTGGTTTGGGTTGTTTGCTTTTTCTCGTTTTGCCCGAAAAGTACAAAAAAGAAGCCGATGAAAAGGGGAGAAGGCTTTCAAAGGGTCTTTTCCAGATACAGCCTTCCCCGAGGCTCATTTTCGAAAAAGATTTGTATTTTTCAAAAGAGGATTTGAAAAGCTCTCGAAAAAAAATATAACAAAATACTTGTGTTATATCGAAATATCAAAATGTTTTCAATAATCTCCCCATTTTTGATATAACAAAACACTTGTGTTATTTTAAGATTTTCTAAAATTTTGAAATCAATTTTTGAAATTACTCCCCCTTACTGTAACACTTCTCCCCTTTAAAAACATTTCAACACTTAACATTTCTCCCCCTTTTTGTTAAATCAAAAAGACTCAAAAACGTTTTAAACAAGTTATTGAAAAACATAGCCAATTGATATTAAATATATATAGATGAAGCTGCTAAGATCACAATCAAAAGAGAGATTAGCCATTAGTTCCATAATCAATATTCATAATAAAATATGA